GTGTGGCTTCAATTTACTTTATAGTAAAATATATGCTTCTAGAAGACTTTTACTTCTTCACCTTTTAGCTTAAGTCGGTGATGAATATTTTAACAATTAGCAAACCATAGGTTAGCCACATGTCTAACTGCTTCAGTAGATAATACTTCTTAAATAATGAGAAAGACAACAACGCTACCAAGATGCAACACATGGTAATGAACCTGAAAATGTATCCCATCATGCAACCAACAACCGGCAACTTGGCGTGAAGAACCTCATACAAGAGGCTTAGCTCAATTTCCATTATTTGCAACACTTGAGATGAATCTTGAGATGAATCTCCCACTTGGAGAAAGGTTTCTCTGATCTCAGAGCATTGATCTGGAGATAAAAGAGGGCCTACAAGCATCATCTTGATTGTTCCGAAGTGGTGAACTGCAGTCCATAACAGCATTTGCTCCTGACTTTGCTCAAATTTTTCCGGGCTGTCCATCTTTTGGAATTCTGCTGGAACCGGAATTTCATCTCCCCATTCACTAGGTAACCAATCATCGCCAAGATGGTCAAAGCTTGCAAGATAGAAGGCACGGTTCTTTTCTGCATATTTGATTATTCCTGCCATTAACACTAGTATGGTTGGGAGCCAAAGCTTGTTCTCTGGAAGGGACTTAACAAAGACATAGGCAGTAGAGCCAACTTGAAATCCAAGCCCAAGCAAGTGCCTAATCCAAAATTCATTATCTTCCAGAGCAAAGGAAGTAATGGTGTCAGGACCGCCAAGGTGCAAGAGAAGAAAGGGTGCCCAGAAGACATGGACGTCACTCCTTTCAGTCGGAGTACTTTTGCTTTGTTCGCTTAAGATTAATCCGATTGTAAACCCAGCAACCCAATCAGCCAGCAAGTATGCGAACCAGATCAACACGTCGAGGCATTTTCCCCATTTTCCACCTCTCCATTTTCTATATCGTGCAAACCAAATTAAGAAGATCTGCAACGAGAGGCTTTCAATAACGAATACTCTGATGCTCCATGTGCCCCATACCTTCTTGGCAGTTTCAATAACAGGGGGCCACATTCTCTTCTTTTCTTAATTTCTTCTCTGTTCTTCTACGAAGAGAAGGATTGAGCAAAGAAAGTGGAGGGAACAAGTTCGCATAAAAGCAAATGAAATGAAACGGTAGGAGTGATGACGAATGGATGGAGCAGAAGTCTAGTGTGAGAGGAATCAAAGTGAAACCCTATGTTTGATTACATACATAAATTTGAGAATTTTAATAGACAAATTAGCAAGTGTGGTGAAATAAAGGAAAGGGGATCAAAGAATCGAACCATTAATTTTTAAAGAGCGACATGAAGCTTAATTATGGTTGCTTATGAAGAGAATATGTGTGAAATGAAAGAAAAAATGATTTTCTAGTGAAAAGCCCCTTTTTTTTTTTCTTTTTTGAGAGAGAGAGAGAGAGAGAAGACAAATGGTGGAAGAATTTTGAGAGGTCAAATGGGCAAAGGTATGTTTGGCAAAGCCTATAATCCATAACTTTTATATTTGATGCGATGTATTTTCACAAAATTTTAAAAAGTTTTTTTGGTAAAATAAAATTTCAGAAGATTAATGTCGATATTGTGTTATTCTTTGAAAACCCAAAAATTAAGTTATCCATAATTTGTTTGGGTTCTCTTAGAAATTCAAAGTTAGGTTTCATGGGAAACTCCATTAAAATAAAAAAGATGAAGACAGAGGAGGAGGAGGGATGAGGGAGGAGGGGATAGGGAGAAGAAGAAGGTGGAAACTGGAGAGACAGATGGTTCTAGTTGAATTTCCTGTGGAGAGCAATGGTTGGTGCTGAGGAATTGTATTTTTGTTTAAAACAATTAATTAAAAGG